CGCCAAGACCTCTTCCATCAGTATGCACCTTTCTGTCGTCCCCAACATCTCATAAATGGCATAACCTGTAAAAGGAATAAAAGGACATTCATATTATTATGTAGCTATATATATTCTATATTCTGAATTTTCTTTTCCTTTCTTTCTCTATTTCTGTACACGCACACACACACACATTAACACATGTAATGATGAAACTGACCCATGGCCAGCTAACCAAACAACAATATTTCTTTTAAAAAGTTATAAGGAGGTTCATATAACTGTGTGCGTAGGTGTATAAAAGTACATGAGTGTATATTTGCCCCAATACTGGTCTTTTGCACATGCATATATCTGTAACGGAACACTCAATGCAAAGAGTAATTATCCTTATAAATCTATCAAAATCTTCACAGTACATGCTTACTTCTAAACCGAGTTTCTGAGAAGGAAATATACATTTTGGAAATGATGAATAAGCAGCATGATATCAAAGAATATAAAACCCACTTACATAGTGAGTGACCATTTACTCAAAACTAAAATCAGTTGGAATACTTGCACTACATACATACAAATATCTTTTAAAGTACCTTTGGTGGTTTCTTTGAGTCCAATCTTGTGTTTGATTAGATCAACAACATCTGCTGTTGTTGCTGATGCATCAAACTCCAATGAATGGAACTGTCCATCCATGAAATGGAAGCGAGCATATATTGGTCTGCGATTTATTGTACATAAGATCTCCTGTTTTGAGGGAGCCCACTGCCGACGCCGATTGTTCAGAGCTTTAACAAGACACTGGAGGAGGGAGGAGTGCAAAGAGAACACTGTTAATTCATTCCTGTCAAAACCTAGTGTTTAATTTCCAATTGAAAAACACACTGTTCTATATACCAACTACAAACAGATACTATGTAACATTCATTTTCTTAAACATCAAATGTGTTTAAGTCTTTTAATACTGTCCAAATATGATTTAATTACAAAACATGCCTGAATCTTTAATGTTGTTGTATATCAATTCAAAGTATATATAAATATACACACAAAATTACTAAAATTACTACTCAGTGATAATTAGAACAGGAATATAATTATGGTTTGAAGACAGTCATGTCCCAAATAGCATACTAATCACTTTTGCTCTCCATATCAGAGTGGTATATTTATGCCTATCACTTAATGTCAAAGCTGATTACAAATAAATAAATAAATAAATAAATATACTCATACTTATCAAACTTCAAATTCTAATAACAAGTAAATAAGAGGGATATACGGGTCTTGGTGCTACACATACTTCCAGAACTACACAGACTTACCTTCTCAGCATAGCGAGCATACTTTCCCTCTTCCGACACATAGTCTGTGGCGCAACGCTGTAGATGTGCACGGAGGTATTTTCTAACACACTTGTCAGTTGGGGGAATGACGGAGCAGAACAATGTCAGCAAGGACCAATGCCGTAAGTTTACCCGCGAATTTGGATCTGTTGGGAAATATCAATATAATCTGTATAGAAGGGTTATCTATAGCAACTGAAATACTGGGATTTATAGCTAATAATTGATAATCATTCTGGAGTCTGGGCTATCACATATCCTGCAACATCACACCAAAGTCTGCAAGATGCATGATGTAGGCAAAGTGAAGACATATTATTACAACTTCCAAATAAAATGTCTATTGTTTTTCACAATATTCTAAAGAGACTGGAGGTGCCTAACAGAATCTTTATCATGTGTCATCTTCTTACCTGGATGATCTGTCGTTTGTTTGATGAGCTGGAGATACGTCTCGTTAAGCAGGAGGTCTCGCTTCATACACTGCTCCACCACGCCCTGAACCATTGTCAGTTGCTGGTCATCACTTGTAACTGCTGCTTCAGCTGCAAACAGATTGGTGTAGATAATTTTTTTTTCACTTTACTTCTGATTCAAAATATGTATTTCATGAGATGATGCATTTACCCCACATACTTAAAATACAAAAAGACTGATAAGGAAAGAGATCATACAAAATCTGACTCTCAACCTTTCACTGCACCAACAAAATTATCCAAAGGTTCAGTTCTGACACATGTGAATCATACTTACCATTAGGATTAAGACCCGCATAGGTAAGGATGGCAAGAGAGATCTGGAGTGCTTGCTGTTCAACCTCAGGCGTAGCAATCTTCGTGAGAGTCTGAGTCAAAGGAGTCTTGGAGAATGCCCAGAACATGTGGTGGAAGCCCTTATATGTCTCTGAATTCTCCCCATAATCCTGGCGCAGCTTCTCTAGCTTCTGCTTGTTCAATCTGATGATATTCACATAAAAAAATAAATTAAGGATAATACTGTGAGACCTGACCACAAAACAGACATGTAAGACCAGGATCTAAAATGCCATCGTGTACAATTGCATGATATAAACTCTCCAAATATCTTATATCCTCAGGAAACAGAGACAAAGAAAGGCTAAATTAAGACCACCATATTTGCACTGACCTCCTCAGCGTACTGACAAAGAAGTTCCCACCCTGCTCCTGAGGTTTCCTGAGGATGTTGGCATCAATGATTTGCCGACGTGCATGCACCAGGTTGTAATACAACCGTATTCGATCTTCACCCGTAATCTGCTTCACCTGTCAAGTGTAAGGATGTGTTAAAATAATTTCAACTATGATTTCCTTTTCGTATGGTATATTTTGAAAGTAAAATCTCAGCCATTCACTTCATTAACCTTCAATATTTACTCAATAGAAATAAAAAGAACATACACTATAACAAGCAACAAACACTTACCTTCTTATTGGAGTCCATGTCTTTTATCCAAGATGCGAGAAGCGGAGAATAACTAGCTATAAGGAAGCCTATTTCTTCCTTTTCTTTGGTCTCAAAAACAAAGCATTTATGTGCATCTGGCAGAGTTCTTAAGAGGTTTATAGTGATGAAGTTGTCACTGAAAATAGAGATTGAGATAATGAGCTGTGCATATATGTATGAGATTTAGTTTCATAAACCAAACTACATGTTAGGGAGGATACAGTACAATATCCTACAAATACCTGTTATGGATAACATGAAATATGAAACAATAGGATTTAACATGAAATATGAAACAATAGGATTTAGTGCCTCTAAATCACATCCATCTGGTCTAGAGTTGGTTATGTGAATAATATACAATAGCTTAAAAGAAATGACTAACTTACCTTGGATCTAAAAAGATTGATTCTATGTCACAATATCTATACTCATAAAGGATGAATTTGTCATCTGGCTTAATCATAGCAATGCCATCACAGTTGACTCCCAGGATAAGTGTGTTCCCGTATGACCAATATCCTCTATATGAGACTTGGAACATCGTGGTCCCGTAGAGAGGGAACTGCATGACACATGTCAGATACCACACTTTAGCTACGATGTCTGTTTTGCCAGTGCCATACTGCCTGTGTGCCTGTCCAAGCACTGGTATCTGAGGGGAAATAAAAACTGATGTCTTAGTCTGTCAACGTTTAACTTGGTTTCTTCTGTCAAGAAACATTCTTATTTCAAAACCATTTTACTCATTAATTCTATCTCTTCTCTACCGACAAAATGTTAAATGGTGTGTCATATACCCTTCTAACTAGTTCCTGGTAATTGTATCTCTGAATACAAAAGAGGCATCCAAGCACTCACCCACTCAGCCTGCTTCCTTCCTTGAGCTATGCGGGCTGGGAGATAGGACTGAATATCAGCATAAAATTCAGTCTTGCCATCCTTTGGGTCACCGAGTGCCACCTGAGCCTGTAGCCCAGCCAACTGGAGAGCTACTTTCTCATTGATTGGGAAGTCATCAGCCTGTGTGCAATAAATGGGGATAAAGCATTAGCACATATATTGTGAAAAAAGTTTTTTGGTTTTAAAAGAATATCAAGTTAGAAAAGGACTAATTAAATTCACCTTGTTTATAATGTTTTAGTCAAATTTAACTCTATAGACTGATGACTAAGACTAGCATTCAAATAAGGAAAAATTAAGAGACTGGAAAAAAAAATACATCATTTTCAAACTTATTTACCAAACCATCTGTTGGTACTAATTTTCTGGAACCATACAAGAGAAACTATTTCCATTACAGAACTTATTCCAAGACTGACTTATAATATTTCAAAGCGTGACACTAACTTCACTCTATATAAACTCATTCTATCCCTATCATCCACTCTACAGCATGTCTCATAAATCAGTACCACTTAAACTGAAATATAACAGGAACTGAAGTGTTCTCAGCCATTACACAAACTGTTAAACTTATACTTACTCTTACTACACTATATACTGCCTGAGCATATAACAGGTTCACTTGCACTGGGTCGCTTGGAATTTCCCGAGGAGAGCGGAAGAGACGTTTGCGGAAAACAAATCTGTTCTCCCCAGAACTGACCGTTTGTGAAGAGCGTTTATTGAGAGTTCCATAGTTGCTTGAACTCCCGACCTTTTGTTGTTTTCTGAAAGGGAATTAATGAAATCCATCATTGTTTATGTCACATATAATGCTTCAAGTAGCTATTCAAAAGATACTGACAGAGGATTCAAAGGCATGATTCATGGTACTAAATACCAGATCAACTCTTTTTCAAAATGAAAATATGCCTTTCATTTTCTCTCTGAATAACTTTTGATAAATATATATCTCTTTATGAACAGACATATTCCACAATCCCTTACTGCATTCTTCTTCTTTTCGTCAGATATCTCTTTTACTATAAATTTCCAAAGAAAAGATCTCATGAAAAAGAAATGATGACAAATTCCATCCCCCAAGAAACACACAGCCAAGGCCACTCACGTCTCCCACGATGATATCACATCATAAAGATACTCATGGATCTTTACGTGCTTGTCTCCATCCAGACCAGATTCATATATCGCCCAGCCCTCTAAATTCGCCAGTCCAAGTCTGTCTGCCAGCTTCTGCATGGCGTCACCAGCAGTGTCCCTTGGATGGACATCAATAGCCTTTGTGCGGCCGTCCAGGAAGAAGAATCTGCACAAAAAAATTTAAATTAAAAATGTATTAAAAAAAAAAAAAAAAAACATAAATCACACAATTTGTGGTATGATTAAAAAGTTCTAAATGTCCTTTCAGTGCAAATGCAACATCAGCGAGTGAGCAAACTAACCTGCAAACAATGGTTCCAAGTTTCTTCATGGCTGCAATCTCCACAGAGGAAGGAGGTAGTCTTCTGCAACTGACCTTCGTATTTTTACAGTTTTCGAGGCACCACTGCACATACTGCCGCAGCTTTCCATCAAGGCTGAGGCTCTTTTGAAGGAAGCTTACAAAATACTGTTATGGGAAAAAAAGTGCTTTAGGGGAATGTCCACAGAATAGCATTTTATCTAATTCATCTTCCATTTAACATATGCATTATAATATATGACTAACTCTATAAAGGATAACGATAATGATGATGATGATAATAATGATGATAATAATAATAATAATAATAATAATAATAATTATAGTAATACATACAATAATGGCAATAAATAATAATAAATAATAATAATAATAATAATAATAATAATAATAATAATAATATCAAAAATAAAAGCTTCGATAATACTATATATGACATAAAAAGAAAATATAGATCTTAAACAAGATATTTACAACAGTATTCCAAGAATTTTTTTTATAAATAATACCTACAATAATAAAATAATAATAATACAACAAGCAACCAAAAAAAAAACAAAAAAAAAAGATATTATACAACAAAAAAAAGCAATAAATATATACCTACAATAAATAAATGACTGGAAAAATACGCATACTAATATCATACATCTGAAATATTTAAATTCTAATCAACAATGCATACAAAAAGATCAGGAATTGCAATGCACATGATACAACAATTGTCTACAATACTGGGGAGTTGAAAGAGATTGATGAGCAAGTCATAAATTGGACTTTGGTCAGAAAGGTTCATCATTGAATTCAGGCATGAAAAGAGCGATTAAATATCGTAATCTAAAGGCTAATCACACCAACATGGCTAATTGAAGTGTTGAACATGAGTGGTGCTGGGGTGCTGAATTGGTTGGTTGTTTGGGGTTTATTTCTGAAACACTTGGTGAAAAAACAAATGTGGTAGTGTACCCTCAGCGCGTTCAGATTATTGAAATAGTTTTCTATGGGAACTCAATCATATAATTAACTTCTGATACTTTCATTACTCTTTGGTTTCTCCAAGTTCATGATTATTTGCTTTCTGCTCTATCATATCCTCCGACGTTCAACTCTGTCTGTCTGGGTCTTCGACCACACCATTGTTGCGACTGCTCACCCGCTGCTATAATACAGTACAACAATCAATATCAAACCAATGCATGTCAACTTCTTAACCATATTAATCTTCATAAACATTACCAAAACAATTGAAGTAATTATTAGAAACTTATTCATACTGTCTTTGACCTTCAAGCTTTAGTAATGTACATGTTCCTTATGACTACTGACATCTTAAAACATCAAGTGCATCACATCCAACTCATCTACTTTTTTTTTGACTAAATAACAAACTGTAAACCAATGGGAATCACAGCGCATTACAACATTTCAACTTACCACAGGACTTCTTGTACCAGATCGTGACACCCGTGATGGGCTTCGAGCAGAAGGGGATCTCGAAGGTCGCTTCTGGCCCGAAGGTCTTCGACGACGTTCTAGAGATTGCTCTCGAGGTCTTCTTAACTCAACCTCTTCCTCTGGAGGAGCAGGTGGAGGGCCTGGAAATGGATGGAAATGTTTTGTTGGTTGGTGCCTTTTTTCAGATTACAGATCCCTACAATGCTGACATTATACAATGCTAGACTTGCACACCAACAAATAAAACATATGGTGAACATATATATGTGTGTGTGTGTGTGTGTGTGTGTGTGTGTGTAAGTGTGTGTGTGTGTGTGTGTGTGTGTGTGTGTGAGTGTGTGAGTGTGTGTGTGTGTGTGTGTGAATGTGTGAGTGTGTAAGTGTGTGTGTGTGTGTTTACGTGTGTATAATTGTGTGTTTGAGTGCATCTGCATGTGCCTTTAGGCATTTGTTCACATATCTAAACAGATGTCATGATAAATACCTGCAGGTGGTGGACCTGATACATAGTTTGGTTCCCTTCGACCCTGTGACCCTGCTAGGCCAACAGGAATAGTTTCATATATTGGCTCCTTTGGTTTCTCATCTTCATGGAATCCATTCATCTGAAATCAAAGAGTTGATAAAAGAGTGGAAAAATAACAAACAAACATATAGATACATCACAATGAGCTGAAAGTTACTCTTAAACTCATACAAACAGAATTTTTTCTATGCTTTCTAAACCAGCCTAAAATCATTCTAATGAGATGCTGAAAAAATCTAAATACAACATACATACATAGTGAATAAAAAGAATGCTATTTTCATTCATACACAATAGAAATTGCAACAACCTAAATGTCAGAATACATCAAAACTAAATCATAACTTGTATAACTGATACCTGTGGCGGAGGTGGGGGTGGCAGGCTATCCCCACTCTCTCTATTAGCCTTCTGCTCTGCTGTTCCTGGGACTGGGTGTGGGGGAGCGGACAAGGCTGGCGGAGGAGGTGGCGTTTGTTCTGCAACTTGTGGTGGAGAAACGAGGTCTTGAGGCAGTGGAGGAGGAGGAAGGGAATCTGGTGCGTGAGGTGGGGGTGGTGGCGGCAAAGGGGATTCCTGTCCTTCCCCTTCGCCGCGGTTAAGAGCTTCAATCTGTGTGAGGGAAATAATTAAGATAAAGAAATATTGCATGGGATACACCTCAAAAATGTAAACAATGGATTAAAGTATACAAAAAAAATTATAAAAGAAAATAAGTTCTACATGATATCATCTTTCATTCGGCCAATTCATCATCAGAAATCCATTTTGAAGGATAAGAATTAACTAGAATTTTGCAGAAAGAAAAAGTAATTAATATCAGGATTTCATTATCTCATATCTTGCAAAGCCATATAAAAAAGGATGATCACAATCTCTTCAAACTTGAAAACTAACCTCCTCTTCTACATTGTCGGCAAGTTCTTCCATCTGTCGAGATATTTCATCAAGGACGTGTCTCTCGGATTCCATATTCGATAAGAAGGAGAACAGGTTGTCGAGATCAACCCCTTCGCCCGAGCCCTGAGATGCATCGTCTGGGTTGGTCGGGCCGGAAGTGGCCAGCCGCGTGTTGACTGTCTCAGCCATGTTGGAGAGTGTTGCCATCTCCTCCTCGACTTTCCTGGATTATTAAATTAGTTGTTAAAATTTGCATTTCCTAGGTACATTCTTTCTGTTATACACCTAAAGCTACAGAAGTAGAAAAGATAATCATTTCCTTCTAGTGATTTGGTACATATTGAAATCTATCTTTTGATAGATTTCAAGTGCACAGAACAGTGTGTGTGTGTGTGTGTGTGTGTGTGTGTGTGTAATTGTGAGTGTATACATGTATGTATCTCCTTGTGTGTGCATGCAGGTGATTCTTATTCTCAAATATCTGCATCACTTAAATTTCATACAGTAACTGTCATAAAAAAAATCCATAACAAGAAATTCCAGCACCAAGAAAAATCCAGCATGCAAATGAGTCACATTTCAATATAAAATTCAGAAAAAGTATAATGAAATCCCCAAAACAGGCATGAATCACAGAGCTAGTAAAAACCCCAAAGACTTTCATACATACTTCAAAGTTTACACCAAAAGCACTCTAGTGTTTCAAACATAAAAGAATAAAGTAATTATTTTTGCTTCATGATGCCAAATATAATAAACAATTCTATTAACAAGTTATTTTGCTGATTAATTATGCAATAACTCTTTCAAAACAAGATTCATTTCATTACTACTTATTCAACAGCCTTTTCCACAGCAAGTATTCGACGGCTGAAACCCTTTTAGCAATCACTCATCGTAAGACAAAGTGACACTACCGATCATTCCTTTTCGTAAACACTAGAGAGCCTCACTTACAGCGAGAGATTTCAAGGAACCGAATGCATACTCACCCTTCCCCTACAGCTGCTAGCCCATCATATTGTTTGCTTGAAAGAGAAGCAAGAGCACATCAAGCAAAAATGAAAGCAAAAGTTGCTAGACTACATAAATGTATAAATATATAAGCACTTTGAAACAACTATTCACTTATATCTGAGAATGGAAGATATAATGAACAGACCATGAATCAAATATAGAACAAAAGATGCATTATCAACTAGAGACGAGATGTGTAGATCATGGATACTTTTCCCCCACAGAAATATTCAAGCAAAATTCATTCAAATCTTTAATCACTTTTATACATATCAGTTATTGTTATACATGTAGGTGTACAGTGTGTGTGTGTGTGTGTGTGTGTGTGTGTGTGTGTGTGTGTGTGTGTGTGTGTGTGTGTGTGTGTGTGTGTGTGTGTGTGTGTGTGTGTGTGTGTGTGTATGTGTGTGTGTGTGTGTGTGTGTGTGTGCATGTGTGTGTGCATGTGTGTGTGTGCATGTGTGTGTGTGCATGTGTGTGCATATGTGTGTTGTGTGCATATGTGTGTGCGCATATGTGTGTGTGCATATATGTGTGCATATGTGTGTGTGTGTGTGTGTGTGCATATGTATGTGTATGGGTGTGTGTGTATCTGCATCTGCAAGCGAGTGTAATATGCATTTCAATGTATTTTTACGAGTATGTGTACACATGTCCATTCCTTTTATTCCTCTCTCTCTCTCCCCACAAAGAAGCAAGCATTAGAACCAAGAATCAGAAGAAAGATTATGAAAGCATAATACTTCAGCATTCACAGATTTAGAGCTCAGCATTTCTCCCATAAACAGAAAAAGAAGGAGGTGAATCAACCTTTAATATAAAAGATTCCAGAAGACATGCAAAACAGGTACTGAGATATTATCTTCACAGAAAAAAAATGATAACCTTAGATTTTATTACATATGTCTGAATTTCCCCTTATAATTACAATCAAATATTAGGTGTTAATATCATTAATAAAGCTAACACTGTGGTTAAAGTATGCAGAAATAAGAAATTTATTTTGGCAATAATAATCTTTAGCTGAAATACTAGTAATTCAATACTAAAAATGTATTAGAATCTATAATCACACCTATGTGTTAGACTCAAAATTCCTAATGATTTAATCACTCATACACATCACGATGAAAAAATGGAAAAATAAAAAAAACATGAAGCCTACATTGATCCCACTGAACTATTATTCCAAAAGCATTTCTATTCCAGCACGTGTTCACTACTCCATACCTCTGAGCTTCCTCCAGCTCCTTCCTCTTTTCCTCGTCTTCTGCCAACTTGAGAGCTTCCTCTTCCCTCTGCCGTCTCTCCTCCTCCAGCTTCTCTCGTCTTCGTTGTTCCTCCTCGATTCGCTTCATTTCCCGAAGGGCATTTGCAACCTTTAAAAAGGATTAGTAAGTTATTTTTTATTGACAAACAATACCAATTCCTTGCTTCTGATTATTTCTTTGTCACAATTTTGAAGCCTTTTTTTGTGATTTTTGCCTGTAGATGCCTATGAGTAATCTCTTCAATAAAATTTTTCTTCACATTACCTCTCTGGCAAACATTCCTCGGACATTAGACTGAATAATTACTGCCGCCCGCCTCTTTCTCAGGAATACAAGTCTTAGCTTCCAACCACGGTAGCGATTTTGGATATTTATACATGCTGCTCGTATCCTGTTATATTCTGTAAAATTGAAAAGCTGCATCAGTCATTGCCAAGAGAATGGGATAGTCTATAAACAAAGAAAGATAACAATTTTTGAGAGCATGAGATTAAGATCATTAACTAACCCATTCTGCGCTTATGCATGCGGTATGCAGCCTGGATTTTGACTGCTGCATCGCGTATTGTGGTGAGACGCTGGTCTTCTAGGGGCTCATATACTTTCTGCCGGATGAATACTTTGCTCTTGCCAACTTGCCACTCCCTTGGTGGCAGATTCTGACCTTTCATGATGTCACTAGAATGAAAAGTATAATGTATTTTAACCAATGCATCTACGTCTAGAAAACTGGGAAAAATTATTCCCGATTTTTGTTGTCTAAACTATCTGCTCCAAATTAGTAAATTAGCAAGCAAATTACCCACCACACATGATCTTTGGGTGTCGGATGTCTGCGCTTCTTATTTAGGCAAAAGTATCTTGTGATGAAATCTGTGAAGGTCATATGGATAGGGAATCCTTCCTTGCGGATCCTGATGATATCATTCATGCCCAAATACCGCAGCTGGTCAAGCACCATCAATTCATCGTAGGAGTCAGCAGATTTGCTTTTGTTCGGTTTAATGCACCTGACATACCTGAGGAGAAAAGATGGGGCTCTCTTTCAGAAGTCAATTTCAAACTTTTCTGTAAAATGCTTTAGTCAATCAATCTTAACCTAAAAAAAAATAATAATAATAATAAAATGGATGAATGCAACACAACTAGATATTTCCAACGCATTTAGGATAACATCCTTAGAAAAGATGCTTTGAAATTCTTATTTTTTTTATTTTATTTAAATGTTAACTCCCTTTCATTGAATGTTTGTCTGTTGTTTGCTTATCAACCTGTGCTCTTTCCAGAACTTATTGAATCAAAGGTTTTCTACTGCAATTCCAACTTCTTGATAATTCTGACCAATTGAGAGCCAGGTCCTGCAGGAATTCCATATCTATGTCAATTCAAAATACTCATTCAAGGTATTGTTAATTCTGATTAAACTGAATACCACCAATTTACAAAGACTTACAACACAGTATTTCTCCTTTCAATGAGGTCTGATGTTCTCTCTTTACATCACAGGATAAAGAAGTATCCTTACCATGGATTAGTTGACTGCAGAACATCAACCAAAGCCTGAAGTTGATTGCGGAAAGCATCAGCAACTGTTGGCTTTCCCTTTGAGGTTCCTCTGGAGATTGTGCTATGTATGGTACCCATTCTGGCAATGGTGCAGCCAAGGAGATCCTGTAAATATATACCTTTATGCTGTACAGCGAGTTTGCATGGAAAACTATCTGTCTGTTTGTTTGATTGATTGCTGTTTTGCATATCTCGGTTCAAAAAAAATTGAAAAAGTTTTGTTTAAGATATGATTGAAACTTCATCACAAACCTGGAATCTTATGAGATCAGCGACAAATTTGTTCCGTGACTTGTTCATCAATTCGAAAAACACATCCTGCTGTGCATCTCTGTTCTTGTCGACAAAGCCTTTCACGGTGTATATCACTTTCCCTGTAAAAATTCAGTCATTATGAATTTGGCCTCGAAATGTACTAATAAGCAGCCTTTCACTTAATGGATTGTATTTTTCATTTCATGCTTTCTTTTAAAATTTTTCTTGCAAAATGTTACCGATATAAAAAAAATATATTCCAAACAAGGATATGAAAATGTGTAAAAAGGTCAAACACCAGATAGAATTTCATGCCTTAGAGGAGAAAGAAGGGTTCCAGATATATACCTCAATATGCCTACCCACAAGAAAAAAAAAAAAAAAAATCGTAATGCCTATGCAAATTCTACACTACTCATGGACCCAAAAATATACCTGCATAGTGGTTGATACCAAATTCCACCTCCCACTTTCTTCTGTCTTCACCCTTGATGTAGTTGGGATGGGAATCAAATTCCTGGTGTAACTTGGTCAAGTAGGATTTGTCTGCACCCTGTAGGGATAATGCTTTCTTTATTGTAAGAAGAGGATCTAATTTTCATAAGATAATTCCACAATCTTTGTATTTACTAATGGGGGCAATACTTTCTTTATTGAAAGAAAAGGATCCTATCTTTCAAAGGATGGTTCAAAAATCTTTCTGTCTTCTAATTCTTTAATATACTTGAAATGACAATGAATAAATATACCAAAACTCTTAAGCAAAATATTCCAAATTATCATACAATAATCTAAAAAAAATTCTGCCCTTCTAGTACTTTAAAATCATCGAAGATAATGTTAAAAAATCTCTCAAATACTTCAGCTCAAGTCTCCAAATTATCAGACTGTGGACCTGTTCCCTACCTTGGGCATTCGGCACTCTTCAGATAAGAGTTTGAGGATGCACCTTGGAGGCTTTTCAAGCAGTTCAAGGCACTCTGTGTTGTCAGTGAAGGTGATGTGGGAAAACTTGATCTCCTCCTGACGGTACTGTTAGAAAAAAGAGAGAAATATTGTCTCATTTGTTGTATCTATTTCTTTTGGTACTATATACTGAAAACAAGGAGATAGTCATATTCCTCTATCTACCAAAATATTCTAGTTTGCACAAATAGGTCCAAAAAAGTTTTGTGAAGACTACTCACAATTTCTTGCTCCAATGCAAACACATAATGGTTAAAGAATTTGTGTAATTTTTCGTTTGTATAATTGATACACAATTGTTCAAATGAGTTAGTTGCAAAGTTCTCGAATCCAAAGATGTCCAGCACACCTAAAAATCTGCAATAACAAAAGGAACAGAAATGAGCATGGGGTAAAATAGAAGGATAAGTTTACAAGCTATTTACTTTCTAATATTAGTGAAAAAAAACATCTCAATCATCAAAACCAGCTTCCGATGGTTTGCCTCAAGATCCTTATCTATCATTTTCCACATCACCCTGTCACTGATTTTTACACCATGACATTGACAGTATCACTCTACCTTGTCTGGTCCTGCCCAGGGTTGGTGCATTTGTTAATGTGGTCGACAAGCCAAGCAAATGTTCTAGAATAGAGTGCCTTGGCCATGGCATGTCTGTTTTCCCGAGCCTCAGCAAGCTTGAGTGGAATTCGTGTGATATTTCCTCTGATGTTAATCTGGCGCTGAAGAACGATGCCCAGCAGATCCTCCTCCTCCAAATTCAGCAATTCTGCGACAATAGTCAGCACTTCCTTGTCGCTAGTACTCAACTCACACTTCTCACCATCAATGTCCACGAACTGGTCACAAAGAAGAAAAAAAGCAAAATCAAATCAAAATATGAAGATATACAGAAAATCAATAAAGAAGAATAGGATAAATAATCTTTAAATATTGGCAGTGAAATATGTATCAGAACTTGTTTACCTTTCTTCAAATCTCTACCAATATATGAACAAGCATGTGCATTTCATCTGTCACTATCATAACTGATGTGTAATCTTAAACCATCTATTATTTAAGTCATTTATAAAATATCAGAATCACAACTCACCTCTAAATTGCCAAGCCACAGAATAGCAGCCAGAGTACCGAAAATGCCGTCGCAGATCTCTGGCGGGACATGAAGTACATTGAAAGCTAGTCGGAGTCCATCAAATCTCTTGACATCATCCACTCCGTCTATGGTGATGCACCCAGACTGATTCAGGTAGGTGTAGAAACTCGCTGGCCGCAGATGGAACTGGTCTGCGATTTCTTTGTTATTCTGAAAGAGGGAGATAGATGACTTACAAGCTGGTCTAAGGTAGAGTAACTTAAAAAAATTGTTATATCATATATCTGCTAAACTAACTCCTGCTCAGATTTTGAGATATTTGATATCTATCTGTAATAAACCAAAGAACATAGAAAATAAAGCAAGTTGCAAGACATTAATGTGAATACAAACAATGAAAAAGGTCAAATATACAATCCTTTAAGGCATAACGGAATTCAACTCACCTGTGCAGCCGCAACTAGCTGATAGAAGACGTGGTAGTTCCTCTCTTCAGGTCCCTGGAAGGTGATTCTGGACTGCTCCAGGAGGTAGTCCTGCATGACGCAGCCTTTGATATGCCAAGACGTGTCAAAGCACACTTGCATAAACTTTCCAAATCGACTAGAGTTGTCATTTCTAACTGTCTTGGCATTGCCTGTGGAAGTAAAAAAACACAACTGATTACTGACATTGCATTGATAACCCTTGCAATGGTCACAAGCAAAAATATCTATACAGGACATATGATATAGCAAAATTACACAAATACAATGAGTGTATTCAGAAAGAAAAGCAAAAAATAAAAAAATAAAAGAGAGAGAGAGAGAGAGAGAGAGAGAGAGAGAGAGAGAGAGAGAGAGAGAGAGAGAGAGAGAGAGAGAGAGAGAGAGAGAGAGAGAGAGAGAGAGAGAGAGAGAGAGAGAGAGAGAGAGAGAGGAGAGAGAGAGAGAGAGAGAGAGAGAGAGAGAGAGAGAGAGAGAGAGAGAGAGAGAGAGAGAGAGAGAGAGAGAGAGAGAGAGAGAGAGAGAGAGAGAGAGAGAGAGAGAGAGAGAGAGAGAGAGAGAGAGAGAGAGGAGAGAGAGAGAGAGAGAGAGAGAGAGAGAGAGAGAGAGAGAGAGAGAGAGGAGGAGAGAGAGAGAGAGAGGAGAGAGAGAGGGAGAGAGAGGAGAGAGAGAGAGGGAGAGAGAGAGGAGAGAGAGAGAGAGAGTGAGGAGAGAGAGAGAGAGAGAGAGAGAGAGAGAGAGAGAGAGAGAGAGAGAGAGAGAGAGAGAGAGAGAGAGAGAGGAGAGAGAGAGAGAGAGAGAGAGAGAGAGAGAGGAGAGAGAGAGAGAGAGAGAGGAGAGAGAGAGAGAGAGAGAGAGAGAGAGAGAGAGAGGGAGGAGGGAGGGAGGGAGAGAGGAGGAGGGAGGGAGAAGAGTATGTAGTGAAATCTAATCTTGGCAGAGTAATTCAATAATAAAAATATTGTTTTCATATAATTAAATTTTTAGAAAGTAAAGTACTAGATAATTGGGCCACCACAAATAGTATTACAGAAAATATACTTTTATTACATCAATCTTATCCAAATAATTTCTTTTTATAAAGCTCTGTTCCTTTAACCATTATAGAATCCTTTCTCCTCCACTCTCTCTCTCTCTCTCTCTCTCTCTCTCTCTCTCTCTCTCTCTCTCCCTCTCTCTCTCTCTTCACTCTCTCTCTCCTCTCTCCTTCTCCTTCTCTCACTCTCTCTCTTCCCTCTCTCTCTCACTCTCTCTAGCTTCCTAGCTCACTGACTCACTTACTCTGCTCATTTTCTTTTTTTTCTCTCTCTCTCACACACACTTTCTGTCTGTCTGTCTGTCTGTCTATCTCTCTTTGTCTGTCTGTCTGGTCTGTTCTGTCTCTCTCTTTGTCTGTCTGTCTGTCTACCATCTCCCCCTTTCAGCACTCTCCTCTTTCTTCTCCATTCACCCTTCTCTTGTCCTTCCCTCTGTCAACCATCCCTTCCATCCCTCGATACACTTCCCGAGTCCTTCCCCACCGCAGCCCTCACCAAATGCCTCTAAGATGCTGTTGGCTTCGATGATTTGCTGCTCGACCCACGTGGACACCCCCGAGGTCACGGAGCACAGGTACTGCAGGATGAACTTCGTCGTCTCAGTCTTGCCAGCTCCCGATTCGCCCGAAATGACGCAGGACTGGTTCTTGTCGAGGCGCTGGAGGGCCACGAAGGAGGACTCGGAGATGGCGAAGATGTGGGGCTCCTCCTCCAGCAGCTTCCGGCCCTGGTACCGCATCACCACGTCCTGAAAACATGATCGTATGGTGAGTCTTCGTCTTATTTTTCATTTTATACTTATGTGAAGCCGTGTAAAACCAGATGTAAATGCGAGAGAGAATTAACATTTTCATAAATTCACAGTGACATGAACCTCTGCTCTTATACATTTTCTAAGTTATATAAGTACATACAAGTCTGCGGTATAAGTTACTACTCATGTCCTCTTTTCTAAGAGTATGAATATGAAATAAAGAGGAAAAAAAAACAGTAAGAGCTCTTTGTGACAACGAATTCTTTTTTTTTTCTTTAATCTTAATCTGTAAGGTTCAGTCACACAAACTTGTTCAGCTATCAGTTTGAGAGAGAGAGAGAGAGAGAGAGAGAGAGAGAGAGAGAGAGAGAGAGAGAGAGAGAGAGAAGAGAGAGAGAGAGAGAGAGAGAGAGAGAGAGAGAAGAGAGAGAGAGGAGAGAGAGGGAGAGAGGGAGAGAGGGAGAGGAGAGAGAGAGAGAGAGAGAGAGAGAGAGAGAGAGAGAGAGAGAGAGAGAGAGAGAGAGAGAAGAGAGAGAGAGAGAGAGAGAGAGAGAGAGAGAGGAGAGAGAGTAAGGGAGAGGGAGGGAAAGGGAGGAGAGAGGATAGGAAGGGAGAGGGAGAGGGAGGGGATGTGAAGGAGGGGAGAGGGAGGAGAGGAAGGTGGGGCGAGGGAGGGAGGGAGAGGGAGATAAGAACCGGCACAGGAAGATAGAAAAAGAGAAAGAGGAGAAGAGGAAGTTCAAGAAAGAGAAGAAGTAGAATTCCAAGAAAGAGAAACTTGAAAAATACCCAGAAAGAGAAAGAGAATCACAAAACAGAAAGAAAACGGGAGACAGCGAGCCAATACTCACGGGGCCATATATTTCCAGTTCCTTGTACGGGTTGACTGCTATGAGGATGCTGCCAGTGTATGTCTGTATATCATAGTTAAGGAAATTCGAATGACGGAGAGAAAGAGAGAGAGAGAGAGAGAGAAAATACGCCTCCACTAGGAAGCCCAAAATAAGAATT